GAAAACAAACAGTGACGGGCATCCGAGGCCAGTGCAAACAAGTATTTTTATTACAATATGCTATCATAAGCACTCAAGTAATTAATACGCTAATAAAATATATTGGAGCGAAGTTTAATAAAAGTCAAAAATTTCACTTCCCTCGTTTTCTCTGTTTTTAATTTTGTAAATTACTACAAACTTGAGTATCTGATCGTATTCAAAGTGCGGCGAAGCTTTCACTATGATTTCTCTTTATTTGTCTTGATCTGTTTAAGGAATGAATCACACAAAAGTTCCAGTTTGATAATTTTGTTTCATGAATGTCAAAATTAGTTTCAGTTTTTAGACCTACAAAGTGTTTAGTGGCTCTGACACCAAGACTTCGACCCTCGTCCTGAACCGGTCGAGTCGAGCACAATACATCAGAACTGTGTTACCTTTAGGACTGCTGTCACAGATAACAAGTCGAGAGTACGATTTCCTGCTTAATTATGAATGCAACTTATTGGTCATTCACGAGTATGTATTCATAAATTTGATAAAAAAGTGCGCCTCGGAGTGCAAAAGTTGCTTGGTTCCTCACCTGTTCAACATAGCTGGCATAAGCAGCTGACGGTTTGTCCGGATCAACCAAAATTCTCTGCACACCATTTGCTGCCGACGAATTTCCATGTGCTGATGCTGCTGTTGCCTGCTCAACGGTTCCCTCGTCGACTCCACTCAGCACATATTTGTTAAAGCGTGTTGGATCGGATTTCTTCAAAATCGAAAAAGAGCTAAGCAAAACGTGCTGAATCGGACAAAATCTTTTCAAGATATTTTAACTGATAAAAAAGAGATGCTAAAAAAGTCAAGTTCTCGAAAAAGTGTTGTCGAAACCACACTTTCGCTGCCTAACAGAAAAAGCTAAACAATGAGCTATAGAACGGCTATGTGATGTTGATGCCTGGGCTGGTAGGAAAGCTTTTACAGTCAAGTGATCAAACAAACGCATTAAAGTCTAGCTTAACTCCCTCAGAAGTTGCGACATTAGCAGATATTTCAACAATAAAGTTAAAAGCAGTAGACAAATCAAAAACTCTGCTTTATGCGGAAGATTATAATTTCAATATTTTACATTTCTATTCTTCTAGCTTCAACATTTACAGTAAAAAGCGACGCATATTTCCGCGCAAACTTTGAAGCAGTCAGATTGTTAAGAGTATGAATGGTCGCTGCTTTACGGTTTATCAAGTGCATTTTTGCTGGCAATGTTTTTGGTGCTATGTGTGATGGGAAAGGGGTGGCGGCTAACAGCTGGGATGATAGTGCTGCACTATGAGGGCACATGATACCTCAATCCGTAGTATGCATTATCACCGTGAAGAGAAGCTGTTGAGGATTTTGCACTCTCAGGTGCACGCACATGAGAGGCAGGCATCTGTAAAAAGGGTAATATTATGGTTTTACTGTTAGAAACGATATGCAAGCCGCGTATGGACAATAAATATTTTCGTGAAAACAGGGCATTCATTTAGTTTGATTCTCGAGCTGACATTTGTCAACAATGTTTCCTACGTCTATTGTAGGAATGCGCGATAGCTTAATTTTGCTCATAATCGGCAGAGAATATCCATGCAAATTTTCAGCTCCCTATCCTCTACGGTTCTCAGAACCGCTTCCCGCCAAAAAACTCACGTTTTTTAGGCGTCCGTATGAAGCACAGATGTACATGAAATCGATTTTAAACTGTTTTTAAGATACGTGCTTCCCTCCTTCTCCCGCGGTTGCTTAGTTGAATATGGGTGACAAAATCTGAACACACACACACACATACACACAGAAAAAGACATACATACACAAAGGAAAAAGCACACAAACAGGCACACACATAGACTGACTACCTCTCGACAATATGCGTTTTGTAACTTACGTAAGTGTGCAAAAATGCCTGAAAATTACCGCAATATGCTGCAGGGATTCTTGAGCATTTAGTGGACGTCTTGCATTAACTGGCCTTTCCAGTCGTGTTCTTATCACTGGTACCGCATCAGGTCGCCGGAGAACAGTGCTGCCATTCATATGAGGCCGCGAAGTTAATGGCGCTGCGGGCCTAAATTTTTTCGAACTGGTTCAGTTGCTAAATGGCTTTTTACACTTTTTTAAAAGCATTCACAATCCTAGTACTATAAAGAAACAGAAAAGTGAAGTGTTACGTTTGTAAGCTTAAAAAACGCAGTGGCATCGACAATTTCACTCAAAAAATGAAGGTGTGGTATCCAAAAAAGGTATGCCATTCCGCGTCTGCCGAGCCAGGATAATTAACGAGTTTTTGGTACGCATCAGACTTCCATGAATATATTGAATTTGAGTTTTGAAAACGCTACCAACATGCACTCAAAAGCGTTCGGGGAAATGAACGCCAAAAAACTTAGGAAATTTTACGGGCTGCTCAAGAACAATTTTCGACCAAATTAATGCTGCATTGCTACACGGCGGCGAACTTTTTCTAGTTTTACCGCACCGTATTTCCAAGTTCCTAGCATGGTTGTATGGTTTGGTAAAATTATCAAGTTTTTCATAAATTTTTCCAATAACTTATTTCAAATAAAAGCTTTTTATCAGTCTAAAACATCATCTTGACCAGATTAGTCGGTTTTCATTTTGTGGCAAGTGTCGGGAACTTCGGAAGCGGATGAAATTTTTGATGAAAAAGGAAAAACTGAATAAAACAGAGCACAAATTCCACTTGCTAATTGAAGCTACAGGGCGAGTAACACGGAGACTAATGAGACTTCTCATTTTAAACTAAAACGGCCAGCAGAACAGTGAGAAACTTAAGCACACCGGTAATTGACAGGGCTGAGAAATGACTTACTTGCTCACTGCCTGCTGCATACTATCCACTTTGACCACAGCGGATGCTTGTTGAATGCCCACTTTACGGCTTGTCGTCACTCCGGCTAGCGAAGTACCGGTGCCCACTGATGAGGCGGCTGCTGCCGCCTGCGACGTCGACATCGGCAACCCGTAATCGTAATTGCCCACAACCGTTTTGTTCGCATTTCTTAATAAAATCTGATTATCCAAGAACCTCATTCAACGATCAGATGATGGACTAGAAAGAGACCTTTAGTCTGATCACTTCCTGCCTTACCCAGTGCTCCCTCCTGCACCATGGAACGCCTAAGTGCTTCCAAAAGTTATCTGCTTCAACAATTAAACTGACGACTTCACGGGAATACT